CAACAAACAAATGGGTAGAGAAGCTGTGGTATATTCACACAATGGAATACTATGCTGCATTGAAAAACAAGGAACTCATTCAATATTATTCAAAATGGGTGAGCCTGGAGGACATTATTCTGAGTGAAATATCTCAGTTGCTAAAGGAGCATGGTGCCACTGCTGTAAAATGGGACTGAGATCAGGGTTGGGGTAAGACTGAGAAAAACTGGATAAATTGTGTATACTGCACTGAAACAGATGAGGGACTGAATAATTTAGAAGCGATGTATGATAGGATATTATGGTTATCACAAGAGTCCACAATTAAGGTTGCATAGTGGAATGTACTTGGGATGGTGGGAGGAGTGCGGGGGGATTGTGTACCAGGGAGTCTTTCTTTTACTTTTGAAAGAGAGGAGCGAACTGGGGGTTGGGGGGAGAGGGCTGGGCAGGGAGAGAAGTACAGCAATGAATGAATGGAAATCCAAATTCTCTGTAAATGTTCATTAAAATTATTTTTAAAAAAATTAAGACAGGAAAAAAAATGATGGAGGGAATACATAGAGTCACCATACCAAAAGAACTGATTGGCACTGAAAAACTGCAGGAAGTACCATCTGAGCAGAAGCCAAGGGTAATGAAGGAGGAAGCTGAAGCTGCCCTGAAGGCATTTGCATAAGGTCCCAGGAATCTGTGTGATACCAACTGACTTGTTTCAGTTAACCAATACATTCCTGAAGGAGCTTACCAGTTTTATTTCAGGAAATCTGGAGGACAGCTCTCTAGCCAATGGCTTGGAAGAGATCCATATTTGTTTCAATTCCCAAGAAAGATCATCCAACAGAATATGGAAGCAATCAAACAATTTCATTAATATAACAACCAAATAAAATACTGAAGATCATTTAAAAAACTAGAGCTATGCATATATAGGAAACTGCCAGAAGTTCAAGCAGGATTTAGAAGAGTCCAATATCCGGGGATGTCATTGCTGATGTCATATGGATCCTGGCTGAAAGCAAGGAATACTAAACGAATGTCTATTTGTCCTTTAGTTATTGACTATGGAAAGGCATTTGACTGTGTGGTTCACACCAAGTTATTGCTAACACTGAGAAGAATTAGAATCCTAGAGCACTTAAGTGTGCTCATGTGAAACCTATACCTAGAACAAGAGGCTGTTGTGCAAACAGAACAAAGGTACGCTACATGGTTTAAAATTAAGATGGGAGTGTGTCAGGGTTATATTCTTTCCATATCTATTCAATCTGTATGCTGAGCAAATTATTCAAAGAAGCTGGACTCTAATGAAAAATGTGACATCAAGATCAGAGGAAAACCCATCAATAATCTGCATTATGCAGGTAACACAACCTTGCTTGTTGAAAATGAGAAAGATTTGAAGCACTTGTTGCAGAAGATCCAAGATTACAGCCTTCTATATGCACTGCATCTCAATGTCAAGAAAACAAAAATTCTTATCACACTGGGCTGATAGACAAAAATGATGATAGATGGAGAAAAGATTGAAACTGTCAACTTTGTCTTACTTGGATCCACAATTAACATGCATGGTACTAGTGGTTAGGAAATCAGGAGAAGTATTGCACTGGGAAATTCTGCAGTCAAGGAACCTCTCCAAATTATTGAGTAATGATGTCAAGTTAAGGAGTAAGATGCATCCGATTCAGGCCATGGGCTTTCTGATCACTTGCAATGCATCTGGGAGCTGGATAAGGAGTAAAGATGACAGAAAAATTGATGCCTCTGAGCAGCAGTGTTGGAGAAGAGCACTAACTATCCCTTGGACTGACAAAAGAACAAGTATGTCTTGGAGTAGGTGTAGCCAGAGTGTTCCTTGGAGGAAAAGATGGTAAAACTTCACCTAACTTACTTTGGGTATGTTGCTGGGAGAGGCTATTCTTTGAAAAGAGACAGACTGGTCAGAAAAGTGGAGGGTCTGTGAAGGAGAGGAAGACTCTCAACCAGGTGGACTGCTGTAATGAGTTCCAATGTGCCAGAAGTATGAAGATGGCACAGGGTAGGGCAGGGTTCAGATTTGTTCATAGGGTTGCTATGGTTGATACTTGACTCGACAGCACCTAACAACAATCTACTTTGGAAAATAAGCAAACAAAAATGTCATGCATCACAATCAGCTGATTCTCATTGTACACTGGGTCATAATGAGTGAGTCAGGGAACAATTCCACGGCAGCTAACGAGCCTCCTAAATCTAGGAAATGGCTCATTATTACAGTAGGAAGGCAACATTGTCTTTGTCTCATTTGATTTTTTTTTTTATACTGGAAATGAAAGGCTATAGGGCTATGTTGTTGCATGCCATTGAATTGGACACAAGTGATTCATAGCTGACTCTTCAGAGGCAGATCATGGCACTGGAGAAGACAATCCATCTTTCTCCAGAGGAGCAGCTGCTGGATGTGAACCACGTGCCTTTTGGATTGCAGTACAGCCACTGTAGCTCCCTATAGGAATACAGACTGCTGAAAAAAACAAAACAGGAGTACCGAAATGTAGTGTCAATACAAAGTTCTCTGTCAATCTTCTCTGCCTGAATCTGACTTTCCTTGCCAGGCGAACATGGTTGAGAGCTTAGTGAGGATATTACATTCTCCTTTGCATTCACACATCACACAGAACAAGTCCATTTGTAAAATGTTAAGAGACAAAATATAATTTTGAGCTTTATGAAATAGTCTTATAAACACACAGTAGCTATCAAAATGCACATAATAATTATCATCACTTTATGCAGAGCTTCTGTTTTATTTCTTATAATGTCTACTGAAAGAAAACAGTGACAACCACTGTAACTAACAGATCCACTCTATTGGGAACCCTGCCCCCCTTCCCCACAGAGGCATTTAAATTTGCTAAACCTTAGAGTAACAAATAACTTTCATTACCTAGCAAAGACATACACATGTTATTATTGTTCCTCTACAGCTGAAAAGTTTCACAAACAGATTTTCTCTAAGCATATAAACTGAACAAAACAAGCATATAATTATACCTAAGGTTACAATTCTTAAAGTGGAGTTGTATACTCCTAGGGGCTATGTTGTGAGGGTTACAACTAATAACTCAGTGAAGGTGCTGTCTCCCCATACAGTATTGTTTACATGATGCTAAATAATCTTATACTTAAAAAAAATTCTAAATGCAAATCTTTCTCCTCAGATGAAACATACAGTTTATAAAATCCCAATTTATGAGACAGGTTCCCAGGACACTGGGTGATGAGAGTTCTTCATGCTCATCGCACATCGTGGGGGACCTGTTCTCCCTTCCCTCTCACAGTGTTTCCCTGGGGAAAATGGAGACACAAGGACCTCTTGTGTGGCTGGCACACCAAGGTTCACTTCCTTTCAATGTATTCTGCCTGGGACACAATCAGTCCACAGCTAAGCCCCAGGGTCACCATGCCTGTACCAATCCTACTCACCCTCTTTCAGGTAAAAAACAGATGGAGGTAACACAGTTGGTATCTGATGTGGTGTGTAGCTCTTTAAATTCTCTGACTTTTCAGTAATTTTGGAAACATTTCAACAAATGAACACGTCCAATGGGGCAGTAAACAGTAATCTATCTTCCCAAAATTAAATGTTAATGAATGTTCCCAAATGGTATCCTGATCCCTAGTTGGGCTTTTGAATATTCTGGCTCTTTTGCTTCTCTGTGTATCTTTCCAGTCGATGAAGCCACTTAGCCCAGTACTGGAAACAGAGTTGTGTGTCCATGAAGTGTGAGTGGGCAGGGGATCCATCTTTGTAGGCCACCACAATTAAGCCACTCTGAACCTACAAAGAAACACAGGACACTTTTACTACATCCACATTAGGTCCAAAACAATGATTCTTGTCAGAATAAAGCAAGTATCTCCCAATTCATTTTCTGAGACAGGCTGATGAAATGGCATCAATGAAGATAGACAAGGCAATGAAGAACAGACTATCATCAGAGATTAAAGGGGAGCAAAGAGTCACAGAAGATGAGGGGAAAGTACTTTTAAAAGTGATAGAAGATTCAAGAACAGCTGACTATGGAATGCACTAGACTATCCTGAGTTTAGCAGCTAAGAAGCTTTGAGCACAGTTTTGAGTAAGCTGAGGATCAGTGTCCAGACCTGAAAGCTGTAGTTGACATCATGGTTTACAGCACCAATATACGCCACAACTTGCAGCGGGTTGTCAAATGTATTTTGGATCAGAGGCTTTTGTTTTTCTGATGTCTTCCAATCAATCACACACAATCTGCCCCTAAAGAGAAACCAAAAAAAGTCTCTGTAGGTTACACTTCAAATGAAAAATCCTATTTAGGTTCTTAATCAGTTTACTGCTTATCCCCCAATACAAATTAGTGCTTCTGTTCTCCTAACTTCTTTTGTTTTGTTTTAATTTTATTATTTTTTTGTGTGTACCGTCAAATTGGATCTGACTGGTACAGGAGGAGATTGCCCCTCCTTCTCCAGCAGAGCATCTGGTGGATTTGAACTGCGTACCTCTTGGGATTGCAGTATAGCTTCTTGCTACTAGGTCCCCAGAGCTCCCATGTTCTCCTAACTTCTTAAAAAGACAGCTCCATCTGTCCTCAGATCCAGGTTGGTGATGGACCTGTCAAACGACAGGATTTAAACTACCTCCCAAAATGCAGACAGAAAGCTACAGGTTCAGACACACGGAGATGCCAGGAAATCTTCCTGTAGTTCCGTTTCTAAACTTTCTCACAATTGCTTTGAACTGTATGGTCTCCTGTTCTTTAACAGTTAACAGGGAAATTGAAACTAGCTATTACTATATTAATTGGTTTTGCGTCAAATGCCCACTGGAGCAAAACACAAAGAACTAAGCACCATGGTGCCTTAGAAATTATTTTAAATTTTTATTTTATATTGGTTTACATACAAAATTCATACACTGTGTTTAATTCAAGTACATTGTGTTTCACACCTTTCTTCTTTCATATTGGGTTTCACACCATCACTCCCATACATTTTGTTTTATAAAATTAAGAAATTCTTATCCAGAAACCAAAGGTCAGTTACAATCTGTCAACATCTACTGTCTATCAACTATGTGCACAAATATCAGAAAAAAGACCTGGACCCTGTCTAAAAGTTTACCCACAGGTACAGTGTCCTACTATTGAAGATACGTTGAAAAGTGAAAAAGTCCTACCATTGTTTTTCCTTTCTTTTTCAGCCATCAAATAGCTTATGTATTCTGCTCTACTGAGGTTTCTTTTTTAAGTTGTGATTTGAATGGGGATTCACAGAGTAAATACATTTCCTAATCCCCCATTCAGACTCATTTTGTTTTACGACATTTGTAAAACCATCACTTCCTTCCCATGACCTCCTAGTGATTTTTGTCTCAATGAATATGTTTTTATTACCGTGTAGTGATTTTTGTCTCCACGAATACGTTTCTATTACCGTGTCTGCCTTCTGGAACTTATCCCTGAATATATGCTGCCCATTTGGTCTGGTATGGTTGTGCTAGGAAGTGAGTATCTTCCTGAGTGAGTTGAGTTCTGTACTCAAAGCGTAATTAATGGCTTTAGTCTCTGGGGTTCTACCATTTTAAGACCAGTGAACCTGGCTATTTTTATGGTTTTTAGTTCCACATTTTTTTTGCCCACTCTGCTCCTCTTCGAATGGTCAGCAGTGGTGCCTGGGTATCACCCCATTCTTCTGGTCTCAGGATGGAGGAGGCTGAGGTTCATTTTAGACTAAGAGTATCCACGCATCCTTGCTCTTCCCTCCTTTCCTTTCTTCTAGACAAGGAGTGATCAGTAGCTGTACCTAATACAGATACTTACAACTTTTAAAACCCAGTTGCTACTCACCAAAGTAGGATTTGTGTGTGTGTGTGTACTGTGCTATGCCAGCTGTCCTCAATATCCCCAGAGACTATGGTCCTAAGGCCACAGGTCCCATCCTGTTACATTTTATATTAGCTAACTGTATAGGAAATTCTGGTGGCCTAGTGGGTAAGGAGTTGTGCTGTAAACTCAAAAGCAGGCAGTGCAAATCTACCAGTTGCTCTATGACACAAAGACAAGCAACCTTGTCCCACACGATTCACAGCCTCTGAAAATGTGCTGGAAGGTCAGCTACAAGACAGTTTCAACTCAGTGACTCATAAGAACAATAATGGCAACTGCATAGTTGTGAGGTGCCACTGAGTCAACTACTCCTCACAGCAGCCCTGTGAGAGGCAGATCTGAACCTTGCCCTATCCTGTACTATCCTCACTATCTCTCAGCCATGGTCATAGCCTCATAGTCACGTGTCAGTCTATCTCGTTGAAGGTTTTCTTCTCTTTCACTGATCCTCCATCTTCCCCAGCATGACGTCTTTTTCCCAGGGCTGGCCTCTCCTGATAACATGCCCACAGTGTGTGAGAAGTTTCACCATCCTTGGGTATAAGGAGCACCCTGGCTGCACATTTTCCAAGACATATTTGTACATGTAAATTAAGCAGTGATACAGGGCTGGAATAAGGTTATGTATTGTATAGCTGTTTTTGTGTCTATGCTAAAGTAGACTACAAGAGAGTATTATCAAATTAATCACTCTGAATGATGGAGGAGATGGTTAAGAGAGACCTGTACTAATCTATAACATTATAATTCCTGGGGAGGGGGGGGGAAGACTAGAAGCAAATGTGACAAATGATCACTAATGGTGGAAAATTACTTAAGAAAGTTGCAAATGTGTATGAATGAGGAAAAATCTCAAGAATGCATTTTTTTAAAGGGTGGGGAGGTGGGGCAGGAAGCTTAGTACCTCAAATGAAAAAGCGAAATGTATGGGCACATCATTGTATATATAATCACAAAATACCCCTCACATCATTGTATATATAACTACAAAATACCCCTGAAAGAAAGCATAACATTTAACAGAGGTTAAAAATAGAGTGAGGGTAGGCAGGTTCAGTTCACTTTTAATACTGTCTGAACTAACCAAGTACATGTATTATGCCTTAAAAATTCTTTTTAAAGTCTGGCATCGGGAACTCGTATAGGCCTTGGGTGGAAGTGACTGCCCGCTGTTCTGTGAAGGGCAGTCAAAAATGGCTTGTTCAATTTCTAGGCATTCAGGATTCTTTTCAGTTATGAAGCAACAATTAAAACTACTAGCCTAAAGTAGATTAATGAATATTCTCTCTTTTTCAAATTTAAACTAGATCTTCAAGGGTTATACTTAAAAGATTTTCTTCCCATCCTGTTCTATTACTTTTATGCTTTATTTGGAATAGGGATATCTGCATTTCACAATTATCCTTTGATTCTGATGATAAATGGGAAAATCAGTAGCTCCACAGTAGTTTAAAAACCTGTGGAAGCTTAGGAAATTCAACAGGAAGGTAAATGGAAGGATGGAATTAGATTGTATGTCTAATCCTTGCTGGAGGGGAGGGGAGTGGAAGGAAGCAGTTAGAACACATGTCATCTTAAAAGACACATGGAAGATTTTATGCCTTTTCTCTACGAATTTGATTTAACTGACAGAAAACTTTTAGTAAGGGCTCACAACTTGATTTTATTAACAATTTATAAGGACTATTAATCTCTTCTTCCTATATCCCCCTTCACCTTCCAATCCACATCTAGTTTTTTCCCTAACCTATTACAAAGATTTGACTGAAGAAGCAGAAGCCACAGTATTTGTAGGAGGCAAATGTGGTGGGCATTTTCTGCTCGCACTACCTGAACCCATCCCCATGCTCTGAAGGAGGCACATGCTAACACTCACTGATACTCTGCCACGCAGTCCAGCAGACCCACGTAATTCAAGGCTTCATGTCGAACAGCACTTTCAAGAACTCGCACACCACTGATGTCTTTCAGAACACGCTGGACACTTTCAATGTAGCCAGACTGCAGATTTTCATCTCTCTCTTTTGAATTGCCCTGTGAAAGTATGCTTTCCAAAGCTTCATGGAACTGTTTTCCATGTAAAAATGTGTCTGAAAAGAAAATCAAGGGAAAAATACTGAAAACAAACATTCTAATAAAACCATGAACAGTAAGATAAAACAAGTTACTTTTAAATGACAGCTTGTCTTGGTTATCTAGTACTACTCTAACAGATACAAAGGAATGGCTTTAACAAACAGAAATTTACTCTTTTAGAGTTTAGAAGGCTAGACACCCAAGTTCATGGTGCTCAGTCTAGTGGAAGAATTTCCCTAGTCTGGAGAAAGGTTCTTGTTTCCTTCTCTATCTGTCGGCTGGGCATTCCCTGGAGCTCTGTGTCCTGGTCTTTTCTATGTCAGGGAGCTTCCCATTGCACTGACTGAAAAGACTCACTCCACTCTCGGTGATTCTTAACGAACTTAGGTCTCGCAAATACCACTCTCACCCCTATCCTTGGTCTCCTTTTGGCTCACAAGACAAAAAATGTTAGAGGTCACCCCCAAGGGAAACTCCTTTTACATCAGATAACGGCAGTGATGGGATTAAGCAGTGTTGCATTTCACCTGCAATCCCTTTACAACTTGATTTATCAGATCATGGGGCATCATTAAATCCATGTATTCTGGGGGCACACAATTCAATCAATACTAAAGATATCAAATTACAGCTATAAATGAAAGTGACAAACACATTTGAAAATCAAAGGGCTGTGGATACTTTAAGCAATCAAGTGAATAAAAATGGAGAGTCTCTGCCTTTACATTTCTTACCCTGATTTCAGGATTCCCTAAACTGTGACACTCCTGGTTTAAAGAAAATGAAACAATTTCCCATGAAGAAAAATCAGCTCTAAATTCTAATGGTGCAAATAAAAGATACTTAACATACCACTGAACGGTTTTTAATAAAGTAGAACCGTTTGATAGTTGTTACTGATTATTTTAACAGCCCCTGTACGTATTCCTTTCATCTCACATCTGTGGAATGGGTTAAGGTCTTTAATTATTATTAGGATTATTTTAAGGTCTTTAATTATTATTAGGATTATTTTAATTTACCAAGCTCAAAATAAAATACCCATGTTCTGGCTTGCTGCCAACATTTTTAAATTCATCAGCCTGTCTACACTAATCAGCGGAGCAAGGGTGTATTGATTAGATCATTAACAGAAAGCCTAGCAAATAACTAGAATGTTATTATCAGATGACTTTTTTCCCTTGAACAATCAAGAGAAACAGGTAATCCTAATACTTGCCATAGCTTATTATAGAAATGAATTGTTTCATCTGTTAACAAAACAAAATAGAAAACTGCCAGAGACGGCTGTAATTTCTGACAACCCTTCAACAGACTCCTGAGGTTGTAAATCCTAACAGGAGCAGATAGCATCTGTTAGAATGTATAGGCAGCCACTCTTCCCTTTCTCTGGAGTGGCTGGTGGATTCAAACTGTCAACCTTTTGGTTAGCAGCCCAATACTAGAACTTTTTCCATCTATAAAATAAGGATACTATGTCTGCTGCACAGGGTTGTTTAGAAAAGGAATGAATATATTTAAACACACTCTTGGAACTGAGTCATAGGTGACCCTACAGCAGGTTTTTAGAGGCTGTAAATCACTTGGGAAGACTGCCCATCTTTCTGAGAGCAGCTGGTGGATTTGAACTGCCTGCCTTTGGGTTGGCAGCACAACTCCTTACCCACTGGGCTACCAGATCTCCTAATTAAAACACATAAAGTGTTATTAAGTTCCAGTTATTATTGTTTGAAAGTAGGGTCTCACCAGTATAGTGAGAAACTAAAAGAAAACCCAAACCCCCATACATCCCCAAAACAAAAACCTCAACAAAACTCATTTTCATTAACATCAGTACTCTATATCCTAGAAAAAAATAACTACATCAAAATTGAGAGCATTACTTGATGTATATTCTGCAAAACCATCCTCTCCCAGTTCTAGGATCATCCGCCGTTTCCACCTCTCCAAATAGAACGTCTGTTCTGCTGTCATGGTCTGCTGTAAGACCCGGGTCACACTTGGTATCACATTCCTTTGCAAAGGGATTTTCAAAGGAATTGAAGGGTTGCTTGCTGAATTTGATTCTACTCTTTTCTCTGGATTGAAGAGAGGAAACCAACTTTGTGGAGCCCTTGCTTCCTCATCTTGCTGTGGGGACTTCTGCTTACTCAATGGTCCATAGAGTAGAGTATCTTCCTCAAACAGTGACTCTGGCGTCTGAGAATTGCTTCTGAATGACAGCACAGACTGTACTAAATCTGAGTATTTCTCTTGGTCCACTTTTTTGTAAGAGCTCATTTTTTTCTTCCGGCCACATGAATAAGTAGTAGAGAAACCTACACATGATGTAAGTTCTACAGAAAACCTCTTTGAACTTCTGAGCTGTCTGCAAATGATCTGAAAAGCCTTCATCTTTAGATTTTCAAAGATTTTGCTTCCTTCTATCTACTCGTAATTTCGAGGGCCTTTCCCCTCTTGAATTCCTATGAAAGAGAAAACCAGTGTTAGGTATCAGAAGCATCAGACAAAAACTACTTCAGAATAATGCAAATGAAAATTTTATTTAACTGAAAAGTTGGCAATTGAAACTCATCCAGAGGCTCTTCAGAAGACACTCTAGCAATGTGCTTCTGAAATGTCAAAACCCTGAAGACCCTAAAGAGCAGTTAAACAGTATATGGTCCCTATGCTGAATAAATCATCCAAGAAGATGGACTTTATGGATAAGAATATGGCATTAGGATTGGAGGCAGACTCATCAACAAACTGTATTATGCAAATGACACAATCTTCTTTTCTGAAAGTGAGGACTTAGAAGCAGTTGCTGCAGAAGATCAAAGACTACAACTTTCAATATGGATTATACATCTCCACATCTAAATAATCACTACTGTGCTAACAGGCAAAATCATGACAGATGGAAAAAAACTGAATTTGCCAATGATTTCATCTTACCTAGAGTCACAATCAACACCCTTGGTATTAGCAGTCAATAAATGACCTCTCTAGAGTACTAATGAACAAGGATGTTAGTTTAAATACTAAGATGCACCTGATCCATGGTCTTCTCAATTGCTTCCTATGCATCTGAGAGTTGGACAATGACTGAGGATGACAGAAGTATTAATGCTTTTGACTTGTGGTGCTGGAAAACATTACTGAATATCCCATGGTCTGCCAAGAGAACAAACAGGTCTGTCCTGGAGAAAGTAAACATTAGGGTGCTCCTTGGAAACAAAGATGGTGAAACTCTGTCTTACATATTTTGCGTGTTGTTAGGAAGGGCCAGTCCTTGGAAAGGGACAGCATGCTTGGGAAGGTGAAGAGTCAGTGCAAGAGAGGACAACCCTTGACATAACTGTACTGACACAGTGACTAACAATAGGCTCAAGTGTGCCAGAGATGGTGAGGATGGCACAGGACAGGGCAGGGCACATATCAATCTGAGTTAGAAATGACTCAAAGGCAATTCATAACAGCAATGCCATCTCACTTTATACTTAGGTGGTCTTAAATTTTAATGTATCTTAATATGAATGTTTTTCAACAATATATCCTAAAAATGTAACAAATAGCAGAAAGATCAAACCAAGCCATGATCATCGCTATGCAGTTAGCTGCTATTTGTAACAACACTATAGGACAGAGAACTTCCCCAGAGGATTTCCAAGGCTGTAAATGTGAATGCCAGAACACTTAATTGTGCTCATGTGAAATCTATGTACAAAGTAAAAAAGCAGCGGTCTGAACAAAACAAGTGAACAATGCATGGTTTAAAATCAGGAGAGGTGTGTGCCAAGGTTATATTCTTTTCTATACCTACTCAATCTGTTGTTGAAGAACCATCAAATTGGAATCACCTCATGGCTGATGCCCCTGAACATTTTCAGAGGCATTAAATCACACAGAGCAACTGATGGATTTGAACTGATTTCCCATGCAAGCAAGATTTTACTGATGATTATCCAAAAACGACTGGAACAGCACATCAGCAGAGAACTACCAGAAGTCCAGGCTGGGTTTAGAAGGGGTCGTGGTACTAGGGATATT